AACTATTGCTTAAAAATTATTATATTTCTTGCTTAAAATGAACCCAAAATAGGTGAAATGAACATTTATTAATATGTTCAATAAATTAACATTTATTAATAAGTTGAATAAATAATAATTAAATAATAAACACTTTTAAATTGCTTATTAATAAATGTTCACCTTTTGATTATTGCTGATGCCTAATTGCGTGTCTGATTTTTAATTTACAACCTATTTTGGGTTCATTTTAAACCAGCCATATAATAATGTTTAAGCAATAGTTGAGTTAAATAAAACTACTGGGTTGTTTTTTAACCCAGCATTTTTTTAGAGATGGATGGACGGACGGACGGACAGATTGTTTTTGGAGCTGCATTGGCTGCAGAAGCCAGTATAATCTGTGCATGTGTGTGATTTCTTGCCTGTTATAACATCTAGCATGCAGCGCTGTTTGAAATGCAAGGAAAAACAACAAACTCATTTCTAGTTTTCTATGGCATTTGTCTTTGAGTATTTCTACAATAAACTGTTGTTGAAATAGAGCATAACAGTGTGCTGTAAAACTACACATGCACATCAAACTCTCAGCGAGAGTCTGCCACTGCAGCTCCTCCTGTAGCTCTGGTGGTCCTCACCCTGTGTGTGTGAGTGTGTGTGAGTGCGTGCTTGTGTGTGTCTGTGTGTGTGTGTGTGTGTGTGTGTGTGTGTGTTGTGAGTGCGTGTGTGTGTCTGTGTGTGAGTGTGTGTGAGTGCGTGCATGCGTGCGTATGTGTGTGTCTGTGTCTGTGTGTGTGTGTTTGTGCGTGTGTGAGTGAGTGTGTGATTACGGTGTATGTGTGTGAGTGCATGTGTGTGTGTGAGTGTGTGAGTGAGTGCGTGTGTGCGTCTGTGTCTGTGTGTGAGTGTGTGTGAGTGCGTGCGTATGTGTGTGTCTGTGTGTGTGTGTTTGTGTGTGTGTGAGTGAGTGTGTGATTGCGTGCGTGTGTGTGTGTGCGTGAGTGTGTGTGAGTGTGTGTATGTGTCTGTGTGTGTGATTGCGTGCGTGTGTGTGTGAGTGTGTGTTTGCGTGTGTGTGTCTGTGTGTGTGTGTGTGTGTGTGAGTGCGTGCGTGCGTGTCTGTGTATGTGTGTGTGTGAGTGCGTGTCTGTGTGTGTGTGTGAGTGTGTGTGAGTGCATGCGTGCGTGCGTATGTGTGTCTGTGTCTATGTCTGTGTGTGCGCGTGTGTGCGTGCGTGCGTATGTGTGTCTGTGTCTGTGTGTGTGTGTGTGAGTGTGTGTGTGTGCGTGCGTGCCTGTGTGTGCTCACTTGCTTACATGTGAGTGTGATTTTTTCACACCAACGCCCAATCACAGCCACATCTCACATGCTCCCAAAGGACAACCCCACATCAGAGGCCAGATGACCAAACAATGGAAAGATCAGCTCATGCGGCCTGATTTAATGGTCAGATCCAGCAGTTTATCTGCACTTCTCTCAGAGCCACAGAAGACCCATTCAGCCGGTCCACAAACATATGGCAACACTCTGTCAAGCACTTCTCTCTAATAGTAGAGTATGCACATGTAAAATCTTCATCATCTCCATCATCATCACTCACCGGCTTCTCTGCTTCCTCAGCTGTTGTTAAGGACAGGACAGCAAACACACAACACCAAAATGCACACAATCTGTGAGGAAGAGGGGAAACACACATGAAGATGAGCATTTAGAAGAAGAAGAGTTCAATTTCAGTTTAATCATGTTGTGATATTAAATTATACTGTGATAATGAGCCGCTATATTAACACACGATGAGCGCTGTAAATTATAATGTCTACGGTCTACAAGAGGCTGATTAGATTAATCGCTGGACGATTAGGAAAATGTGTTAACAAGCTGATGAATACAAATACTTCCCAATAGCTTTCCCAGAATTCCTCCTGACAGGCCGTTCCCCACCCTGGCAGTTCCTCTGGATATGACTTATCCTCAAAACATTCCCATATCAACCACATTCATAATGCAACGCCTTTAACCCACATGCTAAGGTTCTGGTTGGCGGCTTTTCACAGTAAAAATACTTCACATTGGGTCTTGTTGATATGTCTTGTCCTAATTTTAAGAAAACTGATTTTAAACAAAATTCCAAATGCTAGGTTACTTCTGTTTGAGGCCCCAGGTATAAAACACACCTGAAATGGTTAAACTATATTTTCCTTGGGTAAAAGTAATCTTGGATTATCTTGTTCTTTATTCTGGGTTAGCAATCAATTAATCCAGAATGGTCAAATCAATATTTCACATTATACACACTGTAAAAAATGACAGTGAATTTAACGGTAAAAGACTGTAAAAATGCTACAGTAAAAACCTGTTAAATGGTTAACGGTAAATTCCCCTACTATATACGGTGAAAAACTGTATTGGACATTACATGTATTGGACATTAATTTTACGGTAGTACACCATTTTTGTAAGTGAAGAAGACCGTGTAATTTACAGTGAATAACCGTAAATTGACTTTCCCAGAATTCCCTGCGTTACATTTCAAATTTGATGTTGTTTTGTTGAAATAACGATGTTTCTTCTTAGTTTTTTCTTATCAGTTTTGTACGTTTGGGTTGTGTGTTACACCTAATGTTGTTAAATGAATTTTTATTGCATTATTTCAGTTTCATGTGTGTTACCGTGATGCTGTTTAGTGTTTGTGTGAATGACGCTGTGCACCTTCTATATATGTTAATGTTTAAAAGCTGCTTGTGATGAGCTTCGGTTCATCATGTGACTCTCATCACCTCCTGCATTTGGAGGTTATCAGTGTATTACAAAGCTACAAAACAGATTTCAGTACTTCAGTAGGTTGGTATAGTTACATTAACTGTAAATTTAAGTTAAAACCGTAAAACTTAAAACGTTGCTACCGTATTTTTTAATGGTAAAATTCCAGCAACCACAGCTGCCGTTTTTTTACAGTAAATTTTACGGAATTTTTTTTACACTGCATAGTAACTTTGCTTAAGGCCTGTTTACACCAATGATGATAACTTTAAGGATAAGTAGTATAAAGTTTTAATTATTGTTCTAATTCTGAGAATAGAGAAGTCCACATCACAACTGCAGCATGTGCTTATAATAAACAGAGCAATGCAGTGCACTAGCGTGGACACTAATTATGGTTATAGTTAACTTTGTAGTTATCTTTCTTGGTGTGAACGTGTCTTTAACTTGGGGTAAGGACTCTTCTGAGCCACTTTTCACACTTAGCATCACTTTTAACCTTGGTTTATGAAGCAAAGCGAAACAGTGCTAACCCTGAATTGTGTTGCCAAGGATATACTGATATACTGGATATGAAACTGTTTAGCAACAGACAACTCATAAATAAGTGTCTCAGTGTTTAACCCATTAAAGTGACGGCAAACGCATTAATCATGGAATTAAATAGATGGTGTTATGTATGAGCAGATTAATATGACGACACTGGACAAGCAGTTAATTATGATGTTTACAGGCATCATTTCTCAATGATTCTGTGTAAGTCTTTAAAATGTTGGTTAATAAAAACATTTGTACAGAATTACAACAGAATTGTTTGGACATGTGCAAATATAAAGGAATGTTCAGTTATGAATAAACAGAACAACTTCATATTTCAGCTGTTTTATTCAGATTTCAAGAAACCAGAATATTGGCTCAATCTGATTATGGAAACCATGACATTTACATATTCAGAATATTTACTCAATATTCACTTTTTATTGACTAGTATCAAAATGATTAATTACTAACTCAAATTAACATTTGAACAGCGTAAAACACTGAACAAAATTATGTGTGCTCAGTTTAAGTATAAACCTGGATTAGAAATATCAAGTGTGTTGTATTTTCACGTTATTGGGGCCAAATCGACCCCAAACAGATGTCAGGCTACTCTCCTGGACAACAGCCGTCAAGTTTCTGAAAGTGCATGACCAGTTAGAGCAACATCTGTATGTGTTGTATTAATTAAGTCATTTTATAGTGAACGTAATGGGTTAAAATCCCTGTTCTACAACACAGGGGTCTATGGGACCCCAAACACTTAAGCAAGCTGTCTCAAGAGAACGTGAGGCTTGTTTGTACCAATAATGTACATCTGCCTGGTGAGTTTCCACATCATCTGCGGTTTACTATTAGTATTTCAGAACAGTGTAAAATGATGCATGACATTTTGAGTGCCGCCGCAGACCCGTAATCACAGAAGTGGGTTAAAGCGGCGCGCCACGGAAACCATGAGGACAGCACCGGGCCAGAACTGCAGAGCCCCAGCGCGCTCAAGACCCCCCGCCTCTGGCCACGTTTTTCACCAGCTCCTGGAGAAACCTGCGTCCCCAAACAAGAGCTTAAACGCGCCACATAATCCGAAAGGAATGCTCGGATCAGAATTCGAACCACTTCATTAAAATGAAATCGAAAACGGCCTTAAATTGGATGCAAAACGACCCAGTCTCAACCTGCTGCGAGTGCGACTTTTTCCTTCCACTTTTAATTACTTATTTAAAAACATGTGTCGAAAAACGTATAAATCATGCTTTAAAGATGATATTAAAATCCTCTAATCAAGATTTACTGCATAGGCTAGCTACGTTTGGGAAATTTCAAGATTCAAACTTTCATAATGTTGAAGAAGTCACATGAAGAAATGTGCTGTGACCTTATTTTGCTTCTTTGAGCCAATTACGATCCATTCGAAATCACGATAGAATACATAGCATCAGTATTCCTTTAGGATTTTTGACGTATAGCCTATAAGAAACATGCATACATATATGTGTTTATTAGTGTTTATGAATATGTATTTGTATATCCGCAGCCGCCCAGTCCAGCAGGAGTTCTCGTGCTTGTGATCGAGCCAGACTCGAACCCGTGGCCAGCGGCAAGAGCAGGAGACTCAGAGCACACTTAACGTCTCTCCATCCGATACAATGGTGCGCACAAGTCAGAAAGGTGCCCCAAAGCCCAAAGCGTTACCTGCTCACAGATGCAGTCTTCATTCTCTGCTCACGGATGCGTTCTTCTGCGTCAGGTTTGTGGAAGAAACAGAAACAAACACCAGATCCGCGGAGCTGCTTGGCGAACTGTTCCTCGCTTCTTCAGACTCGTTCTCTACTCTGTCACACACACACACACACACACACACACACACTCTCTCTCTCTCTCTCTCTCTCTCCTCTGGAGTAAGAGAGGGAGGGGTGTAGTTTTTTCCCCTGTCGTTTACCCAACTGTTTTTGTCCTTGTGTAAATCTGGTGTGACGCTGGACAGCCACACAGTCTCTCTCTCTCTCTCCCTCTCTCCCTCTCTCTCTCTCTCTCTCTCTCTCTCTCACTCTCTCTCTCTCTCTCTCTGTATTGCCAAAGCATAGTGTTTACACTCAAACATATGATTAAATCAAGAATTAATGTTGATTTTAATTATGACAAATTGATGAATGCAATTAATGTTTTTAAGATTGAATGGTGTTGTGATGTTGGCTTGTGTTATGTACTTAATGAGGAGTTGTTTTTTTATACACGAGCTAAGATAGTAATATAATGGTTTGTGTTAATTGCTAAAATAATTGTTTTTAAAAAAGTGATTGTAAAAAATAAAAAATTAGCTTTAAATAGCTTTATTGGCATGACAAAAATACATTTTGTATTACCAAAGCATTAAGACAACAAAGAAAATGGTTTTGGAACATCTGGACATTTGCACTAGAACATCTGAACATTATGTATATATCATAACTAATATAAAAAAACATTACAGTACAGAAGTCATGCAGCAGCTAACAGCACTATTAATATTTATAATATTTACTTTCAGTATCGCCACATAGAGGAGACTATAGGGTTAGTTTTCAGTCTGTTCCCCCCAGTTTTCTCAGGATTATTAATTAAAATACATTTCTGTAAAACAACTTTGAGACCGCATTGCAGGTTATTGCTCAGGAAAACATTCTTGAGCACACACTGACCTTTTGAACAGTAATGGGGCATGTTGTCACAACGTAGGTTGGAATAATGGAACCTGCAGCAAAATATAAACAGTAAAATAAATATAAAAACATTAAACAATGGAATATTTGAATAAATGTTTAATCGTATGAAATATTAAATAATTTATTAACATTATAAAACAAATATGGAAAAATAAAGAAAAAATAATATTTAAAATAACATTATATAAATGTCAATTAAAATTCTTTCTCTCTTTTTACATTGTTTCAGTTACTATATAAAATTAGCTGAAAAGTGTAGTTTTTAATGGCAGGTTTTATTGTGAAAACTGACCTAATATAAAGCACATGCACACTGCAGTAGCAAGTAGTAAATCATGTTAAAGGCTATTCTATATGAAAAAGAAGTACTCTTTAGCATACTTTTAAAAAGAGTTTTTATTAAATAGAACAAAATAATATGTAGAGTGCAAACTGAATGTAATATTCCATAAATTAAATGAAAATGTACTACAGTTGAAATTAAATTAAATGCAATTAGATTAACTTTAGAGTGCTTTTTGTACCATTTAAGTAAGACACAAGTACATCTTTATATGTAATTTCATAATTCTATTGTCTTTAAAATATGGTTAAAGTGTTTCTCCTGAATGCACTGGCAAGCATTTATGATACACTAAAATACACTTTATTGTAATCTCTGTTGCATGTCTTGCATTTAAATATATTTGTAATTACACATTTGTAATGAAGTTGCAATTTAATACATTTACAATATATTGACTTTAAATGTAATATCAAATAACATACTAGAGTTAAAATTATAATCAAGTTGTATGTTAGTAAACACATCAAATTAAGTGTACTTCATGACAAAAAGATGATTAAAACTAGATTAGTCACATCCAAAATAAACGTTTTTGTTTACATAATATATGTACCGTGTATATTTATTATGTATATATAAATACACATACATACAGTATATATTTTGAAAATATCTACATGTATATACATTCATATATTTATATTATATATATATATATATATCTTTAATACATAAACATAACATTTTTAAAAAATATATACATCATAAATATTCACAGTATACACATATATTATGTAAACAAAAACTTTTATTTTGGATGCGATTAATCGTTTGACAGCACTAATTAAAACTGTACTTTGTAGTGAAACTTTTAATTTTCATTGCAATTAAGCACACTTATTTTTTTAACAAGGGATTGGCTATTTTTAGTTGGTGTCATATGTGAAGATACATGCCAAGTTTGAATTTTCTCACATTAGCGTGAACAATATTAACAGCTCATCCTAGTAAAGGGAATAGCAGAGAGAATAAAGTGTGTTAAGTTTAGGGCACTGGCAAAAAAAAAAAAGGACTCAAGGGAGGAAATAAGGTAAAAAGAGAGAAGAAAAGAAACATGCCGACTGAGAAAACTCTGCAGTAAAACATCTACATTCAGCAAACAGAAAAAGTGAGCGAGAGAGAGAGACTGAGAGAGAATGACTGGTTTGGGTCAGATGGAGTCAATATTTGCCTCATTCCAGTGATATTACGGCCGTGGAGATCAAAGAATAGACTGTGTGCTCTTGCGTCTGTGTAAAACGAGTGAAAGAACGAAGGAAACACACTCATTTCCAACCTTGAAGCGAGGAGACAAGATGCATAAGGGGCCTGTTAAGGGGACACCCACCGGGGCCAGGGGCCTTCAGGGTCACAGAGGCCAGGACGAGCGGATGTTAATCGGATGACAAAGACGTCCAGTGATGTTATTTCAATTATCAACCCAAAAAGAGGGTCACCTTATGCACATGGGCACATCATAAACAAACAGACCACACAGTAACCTAAAGCAGATCAAATCTACAGCAAAGACCTGATGCTGCGTGCCATAATTGACTTTCCATCTGAGTGTCTTTCTGTGTCTGAGAGCTTCATGGACCAGAGTCTGTCTGATGGCAGTGTTTTCCTTGAAGCCGCCTGAACACGAGTGGAAGCTCTGACCAAGCAAAGAATGGATAATAATGCTCAATATTCACTCGGAAGATATGGATAGACGTGCCAATGTGAAATCAACAGGTCAACTGGATTCAGAAGTGTGCTTTTTGTATTGAATCTGCACTTGTAGTGTTTATATATATTAAAAAAAGGTATCAGATCTCACTATTAATTAGTTGCTTATTAGCATGCATACTACTAGCATATTGGCGAAATTAGGAGATTATTGAGGCAAAAGTAAAGTTAATGATGAGAATTTGTCCCTAAGCTAATAAAAGAGAGACTTTCATGACTTTGTTTCTACACTCTAAAAAATGCTGGGTTAAATACAACCCAGTGCTGGGTAAAATAGGGACAAACCCAGCAATTGGGTTGTTTTGACCCAGCGGTTGGGTTACTACCCAGAAGGTTGGGTTAAACATTTAACCCAACCGCTGGGTCAAAACAGCCCAATTGCTGGGTTTGTCCCTATTTTACCCAGCACTGGGTTCTTCATGGACCAGAGTCTGTCTGATGGCAGTGTTTTCCTTGAAGCCGCCTGAACACGAGTGGAAGCTCTGACCAAGCAAAGAATGGATAATAATGCTCAATATTCACTCGGAAGATATGGATAGACGTGCCAATGTGAAATCAACAGGTCAACTGGATTCAGAAGTGTGCTTTTTGTATTGAATCTGCACTTGTAGTGTTTATATATATTAAAAAAAGGTATCAGATCTCACTATTAATTAGTTGCTTATTAGCATGCATACTACTAGCATATTGGCGAAATTAGGAGATTAATGAGGCAAAAGTAAAGTTAATGATGAGAATTTGTCCCTAAGCTAATAAAAGAGAGACTTTCATGACTTTGTTTCTACACTCTAAAAAATGCTGGGTCAAAACAGCCCAATTGCTGGGTTTGTCCCTATTTTACCCAGCACTGGGTTGTATTTAACCCAGCATTTTTTAGAGTGTGCAGTTAAGTGTCCAACATTAAAGCTCCCAAGCACATTATTTGAGCGTATGCTGAAGTGTACTTCTTTTTCACAGAGGTATCAGGGGGTGCCTCAGTTAGGCTTTGAAATATTCTCGAATTTTTTGGAAACCTTTGTGTTTTCCCTTCACATTCTTGAAATGCACATGCCTCGTTGTAAACAATGGATTCACAACAAATTATTATAATGTGTAGGCATGGACCTCCAGATCATTATTTCATACCAATCTTCATCTCTTGGTCTTGACAACATTGATACATTATTGTCATATTTAGAGATGCTTTGAGCTGTGGGAACAACAGTGAAGTGTGACAGTGCTCTACTACCCAGAAGGTTGGGTTAAACATTTAACCCAACCGCTGGGTCAAAACAGCCCAATTGCTGGGTTTGTCCCTATTTTACCCAGCACTGGGTTATATTTAACCCAGCATTTTTTAGAGTGTGCAGTTAAGTGTCCAACATTAAAGCTCCCAAGCACATTATTTGAGCGTATGCTGAAGTGTACTTCTTTTTCACAGAGGTATCAGGGGGTGCCTCAGTTAGGCTTTGAAATATTCTCGACTTTTTTGGAAACCTTTGTGTTTTCCCTTCACATTCTTGAAATGCACATGCCTCGTTGTAAACAATGGATTCACAACAAATTATTATAATGTGTAGGCATGGACCTCCAGATCATTATTTCATACCAATCTTCATCTCTTGGTCTTGACAACATTGATACATTATTGTCATATTTAGAGATGCTTTGAGCTGTGGGAACAACAGTGAAGTGTGACAGTGCTCTACAGCGTCTCCACATCTATTTGACTGAAGCGCAAACATGACACTCACGTTAGTTAATGACAGATGGCTTTACACCGGCAGCCCAAATGCCTCATGCTGGTGTAATGTGTTCAACAGGACGCTCAGAGTCACTCATCCTGAACAGGAAATGCTTAGCACACATCCATACAGCAAGATATTGCTGGGAAAGTTTGAAAACGGAAACGAACTGCAATAAAGACGTCATAAGGGTTTCAGTTCATAATCATAGCTCAGAGAGCTATCACTCACGCTTAATGCCATTGACATTTTGGTGATTTGTCATTTAGTAGATGATTATAGGGACGGTCACACTGGAGCTCCGTCTTTGCTGGATTCCTGGCAATGTTGTTTTGTTGGAACTGTGGCCTAGAAGTTAGCGCATGATCCAACACATTGAATCTTGGAGCACATGTGTACGATGCAAGCTCAAGACATTTCCCCATCATTTCCGGTCCTCTCTCCATTAGACTACGAATAAAA